GGCAGCCCCTGGGCTGCACCTATGACCCCCCTTGCCTCTGGCTGGAGGCGGCAGACCCGGCGGGCCTGCTGAGGACGCCCGGGCCTGGCGTTTCTACTGCTGCACGCACTGCGGCAAGGTCTTCTGGGAGGGCTCCCACCTGGGACGTGTCATGGCCAACTTCTGCGACATCCTGGAGGGCGCCCCAGCCCCTGTGAGCCTGGCTGAGCCCCCAGCCCAGCGAGCAGCCCCCTCCAAAGACGGGGCCGGCCAGAGCAGCCGAACAATACAAGTGAAAGCAGTGAAAAGCGCCAGACCCGCGTGGGCCAGTGGACTTGCGTGTGTTTAATGCTCGTTCCACAAAACCGTCTGAGCCCCCTCCACGTGCCAGCAAGCTGCCAGGGACACCGAGGCAGCATCCAGACAGTCAGGATGCTTGAAGCCTGGTCTGGGGTGTGACCCCAACAGGTCCCTTCCCATCAACCCCAGTCGGGGATGGGGGCCCCCACAGCCCCACTGGAAGCACCTTGAGGACACAGACTCTCCATCCTCACAGCTGCCTGGAAGTGGCTGCTGCCACCCCTGCTTTGGGAGGAAGCTGAGGCCCAAGCGGCCACTGCTGACCACCCTGGAGGGTCCAAGGGGGATGGTGCCACGTAGGGCAGGGAGGGCAGGGGGTCCCAGAGGTGGGGGAGGAGGTGGGAGCCAGGGGAGGGTCCAGGGTGGGGTCCTGCGAGTGGCCAGCCTGGCAAGGCTCAGTCTTGCGGTCGCCTGCCTCCGCCTTCTCACCCCCCAGGAATGTGCCCCTCCCTTGCTCACATCCCTTTCCTCTGCTTCCTGCCTGAAGCGGAAACCAGCTCAGATTTGGCCCAGGAGCCCAGCAGAAGCCTCCGGGCAGCAAGGGGAGGGGGGCGGCAGGGAGGAGCAGCCACTTCAAGGAGCACCTGCAGGCCCCAGGTGTACAGGCCTCGGGCAATGCCAGGCCCACCTCTGCCCACCATCACTGGACCGGCCCAGCTGGGGCCTACTGCAGACCCCAACCACTACAGGGCTGGCCATCACCCCGAGCAGTGCTGGGGGCTGAAGCCTGGCCCATTCAGCCACCAGCAACCTGGCTAGGAGCCATCTCACAGGTGGGCAGAGCGAGGCTTGCCAAGAGGGGCCATGTCAGAGCCAGCTCTCCAGTCCTGGCCTTCCCCTCAACCCACTGGAAGCTGCAGGGCCTGAGCCAAGGGCCAGGTAGGGGCATCATGGGGAGCAGACAAAGCAGGACCCCATGAAAGGGTGAGGACCCTCTGGGGCTGGGATGCTGCTTCTAGGAGCGGGACCCCCTGTCCTGGGGAGGCAATTCTGACCACACTCCTCCCCCCACTAGAATTAAGAGGAAGCAGCCAAGGGTGCTGGACCCGCTGCCCAGCCCAGCTGCATCCTGGACAGACGGAGGCGGAGCCCGAGGAGAGGCTATAGGGAGACAGGTGACCATGCATCCTCCATCCATCCTGTTCAGCTCCTGGGCAAGTCTGGCAGCATGCTGCCCTCGCGCGTCCTCAGGGCCACACATGAACCATGCAGGGGGTCTCCTGCCTTCTCGCCTCCCTCTGCCGCCCAGCACGGGGCTCACCCGATGCCAAGGCACCTCCATCCTGGGCCTGGGGTTGGGCAGGGGCTCTCTGCCCACCCTCACCCCAGGTTCAGGGGCTGGAAGCAAGCCTGGGGCACAGGGGTTGGCCCCAAGTGCCTTCCTGAGCCCCGGATGCAGCTCAGCCAGTGTTAGGCCACTTCCCAGGCCAGGAGGAGACACGGGGCTGACAGGGCAGGCAGTGGCCCTGGTGCCAGGCTGTGTGCTGAACGTCCAGCCTGGCGGGCAGGAGCCGTGGTCACAGCGATTGTCTGCTGCAGTTCCTGCCCTGGGCGTCCTTCCTCCACTCCGGCCAGCCGCTGGCCCGGGCTGAGTGTTTGTTATTTGATCTCTATCCTCTCTCGGCCCTTCTACCAGGTGTCTGGGCCGCTGGGAAGAAACGCTCTCCTCTTTCCCACGCTCCCCGACACATTTTAATGAATTAGCTGGAAGCCCCGCCCCCACTGCCGCTAGCCGTCCCTCCCCGGCTTAGTGCCTTTAAGGTGGCAGCAGGCCTCGGCCCTGCTCCGGCCAACTGCCCCTTCACGCGCTGTCCTCCCCCACGCCATCCCGTCTTCCCTGCCTGGACCTCCCCAGCCAGGGTCCCAGAATGCTCCCCAGGCCGCCTCCCACCCCTGCCCACATTGCACCCACAGCTGCCTGCTGCTCTGAGCCTCCTCTGAAGGAAAGGAATGGGGTGCCCAGAGGGAGCAGAGTCCCCATCGTCACCTTCTGGGGATGGGAGGGGTGGCAGGCAGGGCGCCCTGGGGCCAGCATCCTCACGATCAGGCAGGTAAGGAAGGATGGGGTCTGGCCTGTAGTCAGGGCTGCGTCCATCTCCCCAGGTCAGGGGTTTGGAGAACAGGTTTCCTGCCTGTTTATGTAAATGACCGGAGAGGGGCCTGGCTCTCGTGGGTCCCCTCCACCCCCCCCAATGGCATTTGGAACAAATGTCCACCTTTTGGATGTGCCCTTCAGCAAACACTTAGGAAGTGCCTACTGGAGCCAGTGCCCACACCCCTCCCCCATCCCACCCCCACATGGGGCAGCTTCGCGGACATGAGGTGTGGGCCAGAGCCACTCAGCAAAATTGCCCTTCAGAGACACAGAGGAGGAGCACCAGCCAGGGCATCCCCTTGGCTAGCTCCCCATGGAGAGCGTAGCCAGCACCTGAGCCCTCCAGAGGAGCCAGAGCCTGGGGCCCCAGGTAAAAGCCACACAGTGGTGGCAGGCCCGGCCCTATCTGTCAGAACCCCACTCTGCACCCGGGGCAGGGCAGGCAGGTGACCTTGGGGTAGACTCCCGCCGAGGCAGGGCTACCACACCAGCCATGCTGTCCCTGCCAGGGGCACCCGAGCCGCCTGGCCCTCGCCAGGGGCCGCCGCCGATTTCACGGCCCCGTGGCGGCAGCCCCGCGTTCCCACACTGAGCTCACACAGGGCCTCTTTGTCTGCCCGCCCGCCGCGGATGTCGACGGGACTTTCTCCCAGGCTCTGCTCCCGGCCCATAGCGTCTCCAGACGCCTTCCCCAGTCCCGGCTCAAGCCCACCTGGGCTGGGGCCCATCTGTGAACCCATCCACCTCCCAGGTCATGGTCCTGGGCTTGCCGAGAGCAGGGGCTTCTGCTCACCCTCAGTTGTGCCCTTCACCTCCTGCCAGTCCAGCCGGGCTTGGCCCATAGCGTCTCCAGACGCCTTCCCCAGTCCCGGCTCGAGCCCACCTGGGCTGGGGCCCATCTGTGAACCCATCCACCTCCCAGGTCATGGTCCTGGGCTTGCCAAGAGCAGGGGCTTCTGCTCACCCTCAGTTGTGCCCTTCACCTCCTGCCAGTCCAGCCGGGC